AAAAAAAAGCGGGGCAACGAAAGCTCTGAAACAAAAAAAACAAGTATTTTCTTAAAATATAAGACAATAGCTTCAGTTGCACGTATGGAATCTTTGATTGAATAATTTGCTTTTTCGTAATGTTAAAAAACAGAGGTCAATAATCTCACCGATTCTGGAACTTTTTTCTTCAAAAGTCCGCCATTTTGTAACAAATTATTTTTTTTTAAATCCATACGTGCAACTGAGGCTATTGTCTTATATTTTAAGAAAATATCTGGTTTTTTTTCAGAGCTTCCTTTGGCCCGCTACGCTTGCGCCCGTTTTTTTTTTAAGGCGTCCCATACTATTAGCTATTGTAGCTAAATATATTAATATTTTTTAACAAAAATTTCACAAGAAGTAGTTCAAATTATGTACTTTGTGATGTTAATAACGTGATTTGAAAAAAAAAAAGACAATTATTTACCAGAAAAAAAATTCTTAAAAATAGTCTTTTTTTAGCCGTTACACTGGTTTCCTCCCTTAATGAATAACATTAAATTATATCAAAATTTACTTATTCCTTTTGTGCGATTTTTTGTATCACTTTCTAAGTTCCTAGAATCGATTTTACTTCGGTTTATTGCCTCAAGATTCGTTAAATAATATTTATATTATTAAATAGTATTTAAAATTCGATTACCAATTAAGGATCTGAAAATGACCTCGTTACATAAACTCGCATCGTGGCATCGTGAGAAATCACATAACGTCGATTAATTCGAAGTTTTGGGTAAAACCGCGTATTGCTGATTGCTGTACTACTATGGTAACTACATAATTGTCCGTTATGCGCGATTTCCTCGGCTATTACTTTTCATCGCGGCGATTTATCGACGATGTACAACGAACTGTGCACATAACGAGCCAATGCGAATACATGTGCTTTGGCTCGTAACTTACACGACCGAGGAAATGCGCGGTCTTTCGGTTTCACGGTGGATTACATCATCATCATCATCATCATCATCATCATCATCATCGCCATTCTGTCGCTGGTTACTTGCCACGCATGATCGCAATGTCATTATCCATCCAAATATATATACATACAGGAGATGTTTCATTATTACTTTCATTTTTTCATTGACGATATATCTTCCGAGTTAGTTTGTTCTTATTGAGAGCTTAATAATAATTTATATTGTTTTCTTCGCAATTTTCTATGATTTTCGATTACATATGAAAATTAAATTTTTATTTACACTTTAATTGTAAGTTAAAGTGGAATCTACTTATAATTAAGCGAAAAATTAAATCAATCAAATCTTACTCACTCCTTTTAATTTTTGATATTGTGTAGCTTTGTGATGAGGACAAATTTTAAATTTTTAGATAAGGAAGATCGATACCCTGACTTCGAATTCTGTCATCGTATACTCTATCTGTTGGATCGTTATTTTCTTTTAGTTTGACTTTGCAACGTATAATTACGGGATGCAAGCTGCTTTTCGTAGACGAAAAAGAGAGCAAGACTGAGACATGGAGTCCTGATGATAGTTCGATATTATTTAGTTCCTTTTGCAACGTCCATTTCCCCTACGGCTCTCTCTCTCTCTCTCTCTCTCTCTCTTGTTGCCTCGGTGTTATATCGTAGACGTACCGTATTATTACGAAAGCGAATGCCTGATCATTGTCTTTCGGCGAGTCGTACACTCCCTGTTATGGAGTCGGCGCTGTTCCTCTTTGTTCGTTTCTAGTTTTGCAATTCATGAAACGCGATTCGCATTCATGCCTCTTAAATAATGTGTAACGTCCGTATAAGTAAATATTATGCGCCTATATTTTAAGAAGAATATTAGAAAAATAAAAAATAAAATTAATTACTATACACTGACATGACAGTTTAATCATTTAACGGCATCATAGAATTTTTTTATGTATTGATTTTTATTTATTTTCAATCTCTTGCTAATTTTTGACTCGTAAATATTAATAATATACTCATAAATATAAATAATATTAGTAGTTATAAATAATATTAATAGTTTCATAAAAAAATTGCGTTATCTTGTTTTAATTACGAGTATAAAGCTAATTGTAGATACAACTCTATGCATTAATTATGATCAGCCACACGACCGATGAAGAATTAATGAGTTAAACTAGTCTAGTTTGTTAATCTTAAGTTTCGCGTTTGTCGACCAGAAAATTCAAGAGAGAGGGTTTACAATTGTTATATAAAACGTATTATGTGATAAATCGATGCGGTTTCGTGCTATTCGCCTCGCTTTTTTTCTGCTATGATCTTAATGAATCACTCGTAGTTGTTTCTTCCCGTGCAAAAATAGTTTCAGTAGACGGTTTTTGTGAAAAATATCGGGAATGCACTGCACGATTGTAATACGTCGGCTCGATCGGTGACTTCGCTGTAGACGTCTTTATTAAAGCTTCGTGCGTACGAATATAATTCGTGCAAAGCCGTTACTAGAAAATAATTTATGAGCTTCTGTAAGTGATCTCACAAAAATTAGAAACCATACAAAAATTTGAAATCTGTGTTTTGATTAATAAACAAGATATAATTAATCGATAACGATCGTTTCGATTCTAATACAATTTTTAATAAAAAATAAATCTTAGTTTTCATTTGTCGAAATAAAGGTTTAAATAAGCAAAATAATAAAATAAACATTTCTCATAATTTCGTCGTCTAAAAATGACGTGCTTTACCGCTAAAGCGGTAGCGCGCATTATAATACAATTCATCGTTAGATGTTCGCAGTCGCGTTTGTTTCTTTTCTTTTTCAAACAGTTACCTGCTCCATTTATAAGATAGTCTCTCGCTCTGTTAATTAAGTGCTACCGAGTCACTCGTACATCACGTTCCCTCGTTCATGGAATTAATTTGTGGGACTCGTTTGCATCGACTGTTAGTCATAGATGTTAGCTGAGAAATATTCGAGCGGTTTATCTATTTTAATTTTGCTTCGTCCAACGACGAACGTGCGTATTCAGTGAGATTCACCACGCGATCCGTGTCTTCTTGCATTTAAAACATGTATTCTACTCGTGTTAAATATATTTCTCTAAGTCAACACGATAAAATATTCTCCATATATGTATATGAAAAGTTAATATAATTAGCTAAATGCATTATTTATAAAATTTTCTACTGTCTCTATTTGATTGGTAGATCTGTCTTTTTCTATGTTTGTTTTTCGAATGGATCTTGGACGATTGACGAAAGTTTTCAGATAGAATAATAATGGAGAATATTCGAAGCTCAATAATCACATTTGCTTACATAATGGTACTTCTTTACATAAATGCCGAATTTTAACTTGACGTACTATAAATGTTATATTACATAATTGAGACTGAGTTTGCATTTTATATCTGGCTTTCACATTTGTGATTTGCATTAAAGACGTTACGTATTGGTTCTTTTTGATTGGTTCCATTTAATATACTTATAGTAATATAAAAATATTATTTAAATATTTATGTTACAAAATAATATATAATTGTTGTAAATATAACGAGATAAGTAATGATTGCATCGACTAAATAAAGATATTGAGCGACAAATTCGTGAACAAAATGTCACGTCACGAATCCTGGCGATTTGACGAAAACGTACTAAACATTCTATCGAAAATAAATGTCATCGAAAAATATTATTTGGTGCTTAAACAGACATAAAATCTGCGAAATATATTTGTCGCTACCCGATGCTCGTGATCTCGATAACTTTGGCGAAGTTATTAACCACGGCGATTAATATTTTCTAGATCTAGCTGGCGAGATATCTCGTCGGCCAAATATCTCGTCTGGCACGACGAAAATTGCACAATCGTGATCTCTCAACGGAGAAGTGAAATTGCACGGTACTATTGTCAGGTTACGTAATCTATCGCGGTGATTATGCAAGGAAATGCCGCCGTTTTGCTACCGTCGAACCCGTACTCATCATTTCGCCGCTGAAACGTAGATTTCGCTACAGAGATAATACAATTAATATCAGCATCATGTCTAAATATAGCTTAACTTCTCTTTATGAAACACAACCGGGTTAAATATTACATAGAGAGCAGAGAAATTACTCGCTTATATCTCAAATATATTTCCTACAAATATCAGCAAAAATATTGATATTGATTGTATAAAAAAGTTTCTTGTAAAGATCGATATTAAAATATTGTAAGACAGTGATATATTTTATAAATTATATATAAATTTATTTTACATAAATAAATTTATTTTATTTATTCTGTCTTACATTGAAGTTACAGTTTTTTTTTATTAAAATTGCTTGAATGTTTTGCGTTCACAATTTGATAAGGAAAGACTGTCTTTGTTCACGTGTAACTGTTGTAGTAAAATTTTTTTTATTAAAATATGGTATGTATTATTTCTATTAGATTCATCTAAAGAAGTCAATCGCTCCATTATCGGTTACAGATTCGTTAGGAGCTGAGGATGCGAGATTGTGCGAGGAGCAGAAGGGCGCGGACTGCTGGTGCTACGAAGACACTGAGGTCTGCGACCGTCGCGGGAAATGACCATGACGAGCGTGGCTGTCGCCCCGGGTAGCCTCGGCGCACCACCGTCTATGCTCACTCCCCAGATGTATCATCTGCAACAGGGCCTGAGCCCGACGTCGGGCTCGCCCGCTTCCGGCAAGGTGAGTCGGAAAAAAAATCCACTCGTCGATACATCCGATTTATAGAGCCGGTCGATGCCGATGCGCGGGAGAGCGTGTCGGATGCGAGACGCCTCTTACGCGGGCGTTTTACATAACGGAACAAAATCGAGGTTGAAATCGTGGAATCTCAATCTGTGGAACCTCATCCGCGGTTGGTTATTACGAGATGCCGAGCTGGTGCGATATCGAGTCGAGAGGTTCTCAAGGAGAGCTTTTCTAGTGTTTTGCATTTCACCGCACGGTCTAATCGCAGCTTGACTTGATGCTGAGCGCTCCTCTTTCCGTTTTCTCGAACAAGAAAAGAGCATCATTTTTTTTTTGCTTCTTCATAGAGAAAGCTTTGTTTCCGTGATAAAATTTTTTTCGAGTTTTTTATGCCAATGTGTCTAGAACGTTTCAAAACGTCGTAAAATCATATTCTTAAAAAATATATGTATGTATGTATGTATGTATGTATGTATGTATGTACCCAGACAGCACAAGGATGTCCTTAGGACGTCCAAAGGGCATCCAGGACATACATGTAGGATATCCTGAGGATATCCTATTATCCTATTCGGATCTCCTCTGGATGTCCTGAGGAAGAATAAATGATAGCCGTACACTAGCCTATGTATGTATGTATGTATATATGTATGTTGCAATGTTTGTACAAAACTAACTTCCGCAATTTTTGAGATATCGGATTTAATTTTTTTACATAGATAGAATATTATTAAAGAATGGTTGGTATCGAATTTGGTGAGAATCGGTGAAAAAATTCATTTTTTATAAAATTTTGAATTTTTGAGAAATGTCTGTACACGTTGTAACTTTTGCAAATTTTGAGATAACGGCTTAAATTTTTGTACATGAATAGAATATTATTAAAAAATGTTTGGTATGAATTTGGTGAGGATCGGTGAAAAAGTTAATTTTTTATAAAATTTTGAATTTTTTGAGAAATGTTTGCGCACGTTCTAACTTTCGCAAATTTTGAGATAACGGGTTAAATTTTTGTACATGAATAGAGTATTATTAAAGGATGGTTGGTATTGAATTTAGTGAGGATCGGTGAAAGAATTAATTTTTTATAAAATTTTGAACTTTTTGGGAAATGTCTGTACACGTCCTAATTTTCGCAAATTTTCAGATATCTTCCTCTATGAGGAAGCCAAAATTAAAAAAAAACCCGCTTGTTTTAAGGAGCTTAAGCTTTGTGAGCGAAATAAAATGATGAGGAAGCAATGTGCAAGTTTCTAATTT